CCCACTCCCCAACATTGAAAAATTGGCAGCCATCTATAAGATCAATTGTATGGACTGCCAATCTAATTACGTTGGGGAGACAGCCAAACGGGTTAAGACAAGGGTCCATGAACATAGATTAGCAGTGAAAAGGGGAGATCAACATTCCCAAATATGGGCACACATGGCGGAGCTAGATCACAAATTCAATTTCAGTGAGGTTAGCGTATTGGCTAGTGACAACACTAAGGGGGGCCGCCTACTTAGGGAGGCATGGCTCTCGGACAGTAACTCTATCAACCGGCATGTGGACCTGTGCCCGGCATATATGGCTTTAAGGTTGTGGAGTACGAACAACCAGCGACAACACCCCCGACGTCCCAGTAATAACCCCCAACGGCATCAAGGAGGAGCAACCAACCCCCCAATTGATCCGGGGCAGCCCGAATGAGGAAAGACAATCGGAGAACACCTCTACTACATCTGTAACATTACTACAGCCCCAAAGGGTTAAGGAGGTGGTGGAAACCAAAATCCAGAATTCGGACACTATGAATACCCGAGGTGGTGCGACCTGTATAAAGGAGGACATGACCAATGGAAGAGGAGAGGGAGCTCTGGATGTGACAGCTCACCCACACACGGAGAAAAATATGATGGCCGATTCGGAAAGAAAGGAAAGGCCCCCCTGTCGGACCAGGATGGCCAGATTGAGAGGGAGAGAACTACAGAGCGCGATCGGAGGTGGACCCACGAACGGCATTGGAGAGGGAGAGAAAATACAGGAGACCGGACCATCACGCCCCCCGTTTGCGCATCCCGGAGAACTCCGGAGGACCCGTATAGATAACAACGATGTAAGAGGGAGGAGGCGAATCGAAGAGAGACGCTGCGACGATCAAATAGAACATGATCCCACCGTTACCCTCCCCGGACCGATTACCCGTAGCAGGGGGCGTATAAGACAGCTGTGCGCAGTGGTGGCTAAGGAACCACCCACCCCCGCCCACGGTTGAACAATCTAGCCCCCAACTTCAGATCGTCAGCAAATTACATTCACCCCGGAGGGATTCACGAGATTGCTCAGACGGGGTTTGTAGAAGTGTTGAAGCCAAGGGAGGGGCCCACCGTAGGAGGAGCCATGGGACGAAGGGGGAGTGCAAGACAGGGACGGGATGTGTATTGCCATCTGAACCCAGGGGGGGAGCGAAAACACAATTCCACCGCCACTCCCCCCGGACTGACTAAGCACAGTATAGTACGCGCAAAGCAGCTGGACATAATGGTAGCTAGGGAACCACCCCCTCCTCCCGTGACTGAACAACCTATCCCCCAGCCCCAGACCACCGGTGGTTTGCATCCACTTCGGAAGGACTTGCAAGATCATCCAGATGACGTTTGCATAAGAAGTGAAAGTATTGAAATCAAAGGAAAAACTCGCCGTAGGAAGAACAATGGGACGAAGGAGGATTACAAAACAAACATGAAATGTGTATTACTACCCGAACCCGGGGGGGAAGGGTTAAAACATAGGGACCACCATAATAAGAGAGATATTTACCCATCCACCCTAAGACCAAGGGAAAGAAGGATGGATGATGATGAACACGCAATTGAAATGAACAGGAAAGAACAGACCATTTGTGCGCAGTCATACCAACCGGGCCCGATGACGAGGCTGAGGAGTCGTGCGCAGACTTTGACATGCCTTTAAAAGTGATTCTCTCACTCCCTGGTGCATTAGCCTTGAGGATGCCGGCAGGTGACGGCGAAAGCTAGGCGCTTTTTAATAAATTTTATAGTTTTTATTATCCTGGTGATCATTTTATTTCTTGCTATATATATATATATATATATATATATATATATATATATATATATATGTTTTCTGAGGTTTTCGCGGGTATTTGTATGTAGGTCTTTGGTTGTTCGGGTTTTCTCCCACGTAAAATTGGAAGTGTCTTGGCTACGTTTCGACGAAGTCCCATTCGTCATCTTCAGGCTGGTGTTTTCAGCTTCGTGCTTTGAGCAGCAATGTGTGGTCTTAGCTGTTTCTTCCTTTTAACTGCCAGTGGGGGTATGAACTGATTGGGTGGGAGCTTGGCTGTGTTCTGATTGGGTGGAGGTGTGTTCTGATTGGTTAGGGGCTTGGCTGTGCTCTGATTGGCTGGGGGGTTGGCTGTGCTCTGATTGGCTGGGGGGTTGGCTTGGCTGTGCTCTGATTGGCTGGGGGAGTGTTCTGTTTGGTTGTGCTCAGGTTAGTCTGAGTTGCAGAGGGGTTTAAGATTTTGGGCTGCCTTGCTATTTTTTGGCTTCGCGTTCGTGGTTGTGCCTCCTCTTCATGGAGGGTGTCAGTTTGCTTCATGTATGGATTGGAGGGGTTTAAAGTGGCTAATGATGCAGCTGTGGTCTGGCTTCTGGTTTGTGGTCGTGCCTCATCATCGGTGTGGCTTTGGGTTTGTTTTTTGCGTGGATGTGTGGTGGTGACATCCTGTGTGGTTTTTGTGAGTGTGGGTCTGGTATCATTTTTTGTGTTAGGGAGTCGTTTGTCAATAAGGGTGGGTTTCCAAATGGCTGGTAGGCGGGAGGTATCATCTCGCTTGTTCATGCTGTGTGGGCGTTTTTCTATCTCGATGGCTTCTCTGATTATTCTGTTATTAAAATGTTCACTTTTGGCAATGGTTCTGGTATTTTTAAAGTCAATTTCATGTCCTGTGGCTTTAAGGTGTTGGACCAGGGAAGATGTTGGTTCCTCTTTTTTGACTGAGTTCTTATGTTCTTCAATGCGTGCACTTATTCTTCTGTTGGTTTGTCCGATATATGTGTTGGGACAAGCAGTGCATGGAATTTCATATAATCCTTGATTTTCTAAGTCAATTTTATCTTTGGGGTTTCTAAGGATGGTGGATATTTTTCTGTTTGTGCAGAATGCTGTTTTGATGTTGTGTTTATGGAGGATCTTACTGATTCTGTCTGTGGTGCCTTTTATGTATGGGAGGAGGGCTTTGCCGTTTTCTTGTTCTTTGTCTTGGATTTTAGTGGGGGTTTCTTTTTGAATTAGGTTTGTAATCTTATTTCTTTGGAATCCATTGGATGTTAGTACATTGGTGAGAGTGTGTAGTTCGGTTTTTAGGTGTTGTTCGTCAGCTAAGCGTTTTGTTCTGGAGATGAGTGTCTTGGCTACAGAGTTGATCTGTGCTGGGTGGTGGTGTGAGAGAGCGTGCAGATAGCGGTTTGTGTGTGTTTTCTTCTGGTAGATGGTGTGTCCTAGGGAGCCATTGGATTTCTTGTAGACTAAGACATCCAGGAAGGGAAGTTGGTTGTTAGCTTCTGTTTCCATGGTGAACTGTATTTTGGGGTGTAGGCTGTTGAGGTGTGTGAGGAAGTTGTCCAGTTTTTCTTTCCCATGTGGCCAGATTATGAAGGTGTCGTCTACGTATCTGAGCCAGAGTTTGGGTTTGTGATCCAATTTTTCTAGAGCTTGGGTTTCAAAGTGTTCCATGTAGAGGTTGGCAATGACAGGTGAGAGGGGTGATCCCATGGGTGCTCCTTCTGTTTGTTTGTATTTTTGTCCATTATAGATGAAGTATGTGTTGGATAGGCAGTGGTTGGTCAGATCTAAGATGTGTTTGGGGGGGGTTATATTTGTTTTGGATAGCTGTCAAGGCTTCTTTGATAGGCACTTGGGTGAAGAGGGATATGACATCGAAGCTCACTAGTAGGTCGCTGGGCTGTAAGTTTTGTTTCTTTATGATCTCTATAAACTGGAATGAGTTTTTTACGTGTGAGGTGATGGATTCTGCATAGGGCTGTAGTTGTTTGGCGAGAAATTTGGCTAGGTTTTGTAGAGGTGAGCCTATGGAGCTGACTATAGGTCTGAGTGGGGTTCCTTCTTTGTGTATCTTGGGGAGACCATAGAGTTTAGGGCATCTGGATGATTTCTCTCTGGGAATGATTCTTTGCTGGATCTCTTCGCTAATGGGGGAGGCTTTTATTTTGGATCTGGTGGTTTTTTCCAGGTAGGTGGTGGGATCTGTATTTAGGGGTTTGTATGTGGAGTCTTGGAGTAGGTTGGTTAATTTGGTTTGGTAGTCAGATGTGTTCATAACCACCGTGGCGTTGCCCTTGTCTGCTGGTAGGATTATTATGCTGGTGTCTTCTTTCAGGTTACGTAGTGCTGTCTGTTCCTCTTTGGGTAAGTTGTTTTTGGGTGGCTTGCTGGTGCAGAGGATGTTGGTGATTTCGAGTCTGATTCTGTTAGCGTCGTCGGGGTTGATTTTGGTCAGGCTGGTTTCAACTCCCCATATAATAGTTTCAGTGGGGATGTGTTTGGGAGCGACTGCAAAGTTGAATCCTTTGGAAAGGACATTGGTTTCGGCTTTGGTGAGGATCCTATCTGAGATGTTATGCACTGTTTGTTTCATCTGACTACCAAACCAAATTAACCAACCTACTCCAAGACCCTCACTGGCAGTTAAAAGGAAGAAACAGCTAAGACCACACATTGCTCCTTGAAGCACAAACCTGAAAGCACCAGCCTGAAGATGACGAATGGGACTTCGTCGAAACGTCGCCAAGACACTTCCAATTTTACGCGGGAGAAAACCCAAACAACCAAAGACCTACATACAAACACACCCGCGAAAACCTCAGAAAACATATATATGTATGTATGTATGTATGTATGTATGTATGTATATATATTTGTTTATTGAGGTTTTCACGGGTGTTTGTATGTAGGTCTTTGGTTATTCGGGTTTTCTCCCGCGTCAAAGCCAAGACACTTCCAATTTGATGTGGGAGAAAACCCGAATAACCAAAGACCTACATATATATGTATGTATGTATGTGTGTATGTATGTATGTATGTATATTTGTTCTTGTTAGGTTGCTAAGGGGGAGAAGATTTGGGGTTAGGGTACTTCTGCTAGCTTAAGTAGAAAGTCACATACTTCCATGTATGCTATTTGCTTTCCCTTTCTCATTATCATTATCACTGTCACTGTTTGCTTTGCTTGAAGGATTATGACCAGCAACAAACTACAAGTCAAAGTGAAGACACTGAATACATGCAGAAAGCATACCACGGCCAGGAGACAGACACTGTCAAATTAGAGGAAAGGAATGTCTTCTGTAGTGCCTACAATGTTCGTGTTCTAATAAACAGGTATGTGTCTATGACAGAATATATTTATCCTCATTCAATTCCCATTCATCTTGTCACAGCACAGGTTCTGGTCAAGTAGATGGGAGAACAGAACAGAGGAACTCTTTCAGGTGACTGGCCAAGAGAGTAAACATTCTAATTATTGATATCTGCCTGCTGCCTATATAAGAGACTTGCTTTGCCTCTGTTCTCCTTGCTGGAAACAACATATTCTCCTGTATAACTCCCATGTAGGAATTCTACTCTTGGACTTTAAATTCTTGGACTAGCTGCCAACCTTGGCCTGGCTCTTGAAAAGGTGAGGGTAAAAAGAAGGGTTGCTTATCTCTGTTTCTTAGTCAAGAGAGCCAGCGTTGTCTGAAGGTATTTCTCTGGTCATGTGGCCAACATGACTGTACACCAAGCAGCACAGAACACTGTTACCTTCCCACTGAAGTGGTACCTATTTACCTACTCACATTTGCACTTTTAAACTGCTAGGTTTGCAGTTGTTGGGGCAAGTAATGGGAGCTCGCCCTGTTGCCTGGTGCTCGAGTCTTGAACCCGGCCTGTCAGCTTTCTAGCTGACAAACTCAGCATCGAACCATTGAGCCATCATGCTCATTGAAACCTGAACTAACTTGCACATTCCTCTTTGCAAACAAAATTGGTTTGCTTGATATTGCTTGCTACATTGTAAACTCTGCTGCCTGAAAGTAAAACTGATAAATGCCCAAGAAACCAGGTGTGCATATGTGGCTGAAACCTGAAGTAGGATACATCTCACCAACTCACCCATAAGAATTGTTTAAAAATATAACTCCACAGCACATGAAACCTTTTGCACTTGAACTATCCTTCCAAGCTCTTGGAAGCATCTTTGTCTGGGAACAGTACGTTTTGGTTATTTTGGAATCCACTGGTGGAAACAAGAAAAGGGGAATGTAGAGATTATGTCTGTTAAAGTAAATCAGGTTCCTAATTTAATTTTTCTACTTCAGTCTGGATTCCAACAGAGTGATTCACAGCACTTCTGGAAGGCTATTGGCCTTTGGTTCTTTAGATCGAAAAATCCGCTTTCTAGATATAGAGAAGATTAAAATTATCCCTCCTGTCTTCTCTGGGCATGCTGGTAGCATCAGAACCTTATATCTCAATGAAGAAAGAGGATTCCTCCTGAGTGGCAGCTATGATCTCAGTATCAGGTGAGTGCTTTGGTTTTAATGCCCTTTCTTTACCCAAGACAGTTTAATCTGCCTTTTTCAGGAGTTAGTTTCCATTTTGGGGGGTTGAATGGTGATGCAGCAACAATGAGGACCAGCTTGTTTTATTCTAGCTTTATTCTAGCTTTTTTCTGTTCCTGCATGTATGGTGTTTGTTTATCATTCTCTTGAACTCTTTTTTAGACTGTGGAACATCAGAAAAGGGACCTGTGTGAAGATTTTTCTGGGCCACAAAGGGAATCTCACTTGCTTGGATGTGTGCAAGACCAGATTTGTGTCTGGATCCAAAGACTGCACAGCAAAATGTGAACATCAGTTTTAATTCCTCTTAGATAAGTAGGGGGAAAAAAATCAATGACTTCAGCTAAAATGTTAAAGTTGGTAAAGTAAGAAAATTAGTAAGTTGTATGATAAAATAAGACTCACCTGATAATGGGCAATCATGATTTTTCCCAACATAAAACAGAAGCATGTTCTCAATCCAAGGGCTACATTAAGCTTGACATACCATGCTGAGAACCCATGTAGATTCTCAGTCATCCAGGTCATAGTTATCCCAAAGATGCTTTTTCACAAGGCGACTGGACTATGTCAAAAGCGAAATGTCTTCAAAGAAAAACAAGAAAGTCCAGTTGCCTCATGAAAAAACATCTTTGGGCATGCTGAGAACCACACTCCAAAAGTCAGTGGAGTCATATTTCCCTTGCTTAAAAAAATCTTACTTTGTTCATTTTTATTTTAAAATACTATTTTTTGTCTGGAGCTTTAGGAAGCAACTCCTTCTACCCTCACTAGAAACTACAGTGTTTTCTCTCATCAGCAGAGGGTGAAATTACATTCTTGTTTTTCTAATGTTATAGAAAAATATGTCTTACCAACATTTAAGAAGAAAACTCTACAGCTCCTCTTCTCCTCTCTTCTCTTTTTGTATCCTGCCTTTATTATTTTTACAAATAACTTAAGGCGGGAAAGGTATCTAGCTACCTTCCTCTGTTTTCTATCTTTTTTTCTTTACTTAAAAAAAAGCTGAACAAAGTGGAAGAGAAATAAGACATGAGAATAGGTGGGACCACAGGCTTGCTTTCCTTTCTGTCTTTGAGGAGTGGGTGGGCAGTTAAGGAGTACTTATACCTCAAGCTGTAGAAATATAAACTACCTGGAAGGGGGCTGGGTGGAGAATGTTTTATGGGTGCCTTGTGCTGAAAGACATGATTTCACCCCCTAGCACTTCTCCAAGTATCAAAGTGTTTGAAAGGCCTATCCTTTTAAAATGATTGCAAACAGTTTGCTGGCCAGAAGAGGTGTTGGAAATCAAGATTATACTTGAAACCAACATTTGGTTTTGCAGATATTTCAGTTTCTCAGCTACTTTTTTTTTTTAATTAACAGTTGGGTTGGGGGAGGAAGCCTTGTTGTTCCCCAGGAAAAGATCCAGAATCACAAGGGTACCACTTTGGGATAAGGTACCACAGGTAAGCCATAAGCCAGAATTTGCAAACTATAATGGCTTAACACAATGGTTCTCAACCTTTTCTTCATCATGGACCTCTTTTAAATATCTTTTGTGGCCATGGACCACCAAGATTTAACACAAGCTTTTAAATCATAACATTCCTTCAAGCATTCATGGACCCCCTGTGATGACATCATGGCCCACCCAGAGGTCTGCAGACCATAGGATGAGAATCACTGACTTAGCACAAAGGGTGAATCAGTCTCAGTCTATGACTTTCCATGCTTAATTCTTATGTTAAGAATTAGGGAAGTGCTACAATGGTTTGTATAAGATCTTGCTATTTCCCTGCTCCTCTCCACACCCAGCCCTTCATACAGTTGCAACTTGGAATGGCTATTTTCGGCCATATCATCCATTCTACTTCCTATGGCAAAGTATTTGTTATTTTCTCTTGTGTAAACAAATTTCTCTTGCCTCCAGGTAGGTTCCAATCTTGTTGGGATTCAACTCTTTGAGCTTGTTGCTGAAAATAATGGAGTCATTCTGGATTGAAAAATGTGGCCTATATTGATTTATATATTTGGACATCATATTCTGAACCACTCACAAAGTATAAGGAATGTAGCAGTGCATTTTTCAAAAAGACAAAATAAAATTTAACTGACTATAGATAAATCACACCACTCTGCTAAATGTGTTGTTCAGCCTTTTCTGATGTATACCTCCCAGATAAGTCTCACTGATGTTTTTCTATCTTGGACTGAGCTGCATTAAATGCATTGAAACTGACTTCTGAGTAATGAGCAACATGCTAAGAAATTACTACATCTTCTTGTGTTTCTTACAGTGTGGGACATGAAAACCGGGCGATGTATTAAAACTTTTACACACAAAGGTTATATTTGGGCTGCTAAAATGAATGACATCCATATTGTGAGTTCCTGTGAAAAGGGCCTCGTGAAAATTTGGCATGCTGAGTCATATGTACTAATCAAGGTATGAATCTTCCAAAAGAGTCTGGCCCAATTTCTTTCACATTTAAACTCAGGTAAGCAACCAGCAGTGCAATTGTACCCACAAGCTGACAGGAGTACCAGAAGAAACAGAAAGATCTTAAAATATATTTCAATGCAAACTCCCTTTAGGCATCATGCCATAAATTAGAAATGCCAAGGAGATATTGGTCTCAGCCCTGAGTCAATTCTCCACTAGTAATTTAAATCATGCTCAGTCCCCTTTAAAGTGGTATAAAGTCTGTCTTCATTACTGTTATTTATCACAAAGCTGGCTGATAGTTCTATAACATCCTATAAATCAGTAATTTGGAAATAATGTTGGGATCCTATTTGTAGAGTTTTTGATAATCTAGGATTTCTTATGCAAAAAAGTTCTCAAGCAAGCAAACAAACAAAATCCCCCCCCCAAATAAATAAAAACTTGGTGAGCTGATTATCAAAAACAAGTTAAAAGTTTTTTAAGTTTCATCTTGGAAGCTTAACATATTATAGGACCAAAATGTTAGCTCCTGAATTTACAAAATAGACAAACAAAAAGATATTTAAGGAGAAAAAAAAGCAGAATTTCATTCTTGTATCAAAGCAACTGGAAGGCCAGCTCAAAGAGAAATCAAAAGTATTAATTTACCTTCTCTATTTTTTTCTTTAGCAAAGTCAGTAGTTAATATGCCTACCCATAGGGCTCATTGTTCTTTAGCAATACTTGTTCTTCTCTAATACATTTTAGGTGGAACATCCATTCCTGTGGAAAACAAGCATGCGTAATTCACTTCGTGAGACACCTGCTGGGGATATTTTTTATTAACTCTCATGATGGGGAAGAGATGCCTATGGCCATTGTTATACAGCATTAGTATTTATACCAGTCTACACTGGTATTTATACCAGTTATACACTGACTGATACTCTCTTATTCCAGTTTAAGGGTTTGTTACTGGACCTTACATCTAACATTTTTTTTTATTTTATACAAGGAATACCTGATAAACATTTTACACACAATAAATAGTAATCATTCAAAGCCTTAGAAATGCTTCTTATACAGTATACTTCTGAGCAGGAAAAAAACTCAATACTACATTGGTTATTTTATAATCCAATAATGAGGCTAGCCTTAGTGATATTTGGGAGGGGGGAGGTTAGCAAAAGAAATCTATGGAAAGCCTTTCATACTTTTAGCTTTACAGTATTATTTATTGGCAAAGTTAACAGCCACAATCAAAGAATGCCTGAAAGTATATTAAAAGAGCACAAAGAGAAGCCTCCTCCCCCCCCCATTCCTCCTCCTCCTTTTACAGGTTTTAGAAGGTCACCGAGGTCCTGTAAAATGTTTGTCATTTGATGAGTGGCATCTTGTAACAGGAAGCAGTGATAGATATATTTTGGCCTGGAGCATGTTGGGAAAACACAAGCGATGTCTAATGGCTTTCAGACACCCCCAGTAAGTATTTTTAATATAAAATACATTTTGCATTTTAAGCCTTACCAATCACTCGATTAAAGAACCATTTTGTTCTTTGAAACCACTGGGAGAAATATTTTGAAACCATGAAAGAGGCAGATAAATCTTGAAACCACTGAGCAAGATAGTCTGACAAGAAGGAAATTATCTTTATTCTGGCTGAATGAGAGATGCAGTCAGATGAGAAAAACAGGAACAGGCTCAGATGTTAATTCAGAAGCCATGTGATTCAAGGATTAGGCCAATCCTGACTGAATATGGTTCTGATGGAAGAAGAGGCCTGCAATATAGGAGTATTAAATGGAGGCCATCGCCAGTAAATCTGTATTACAATATAAATATGTTGTAGCTGAGAGACCATTGACTAAAATCTCCCTGACTTTCACTTTTACACTTGAACAGCTCATATAATATTGATAACTAATTGGTCTCTAAACAGGAAGGAGATAATTCTTTTATCATCACTTTGTTTCAGCAAAATGATATAATAATCTCTTCTCTGCATCCCACTTCCTTGCTACTCTGATTTATTGCTCCTTTTGTTGTTAGCATTTAAATTCTTAATTCAGGCATCCCCCCAGTTAACCCACATAATATACATTGAATGCTTTCATTTAAGAGATTCAGTTTGTTTTGGTATTTATTTTTTCACTTTATACATTCCAAATTTTTCTCTAGCAATTGCTTTCTTAGTACAGTAGTCCAATCATTTTTCTTAGAATGATTTGTGAGGACAAGTGACTTTGAATATTTTTTTAATTTCAAAATACTGAGTTTGGACAGCTACTGGAGGATTATTCATAAAAGAAGCAAGGATGAACCTGAAAAATCAGAATTGGACTCCAGACAGACTCTGGGCAGGCCAGAATTATAGATAGCATCTAAGGGGATATGTATGTTAGCTGTTCACATGTGTACAGAGTAAGGTAGATGATGCTAACAGATATGCAGGTGGTGTTGTCTAGGCAAACGATACTAAAGCATTTTTTGTTAAATCCAGAACATCCAATAACATTTGGAAGTGGTTCACATAGACCCTTATCTCAGTGAATTAGGGAATTAGCACAATCAGACTTGGAAGATTCTGTTATTGTGGCCAATCTCAAAGTAACTTTAGCCATTCTGTGGAATTAATTTTATGATTTATTCTATCTAGTGAGGCTGACATCAGTCTTGCAAGTCTGATTGCGCTATATATCTCTTTTTCCTCCAGTAAATTAGGAAGCCATTTCAGAATATAATCTGAAATTTTGCGTCCATTTTATCATCGAGTTTCTTCTGTCTCTGTTGCACATTTAAGTAAAAAAAAAATTGTACTCAACTTTGGATGAAAAGTTAATTCTATCCTTATACTGATGTTCTAGATGGCAATTAATACTGAAGAAATTTTACCTTTTTTTCTTTCAATACTTTAGGCTTTTTAAATAATTGTTGATAATTTTAAATATATTAAATAAACATTACTGCATTGAAATTTACTTTAAAATAATACAATGTATCAACTTTACTAAAAAGATAAGCATTTGTTTTTAATTGCTGATCTTGTTTATAGGGAGGTTCTATCTCTGGCCTTTGTTTATCTCAGAGTCATCAGTGGCTGTGCTGATGGGAAGATACGTATTTTTAACTTCTTTTCTGGAATCTGTCTGAGGGTTATGAGAGCAAACAGCAGAGGTGACCCAGTGGTGTCCTTCTGTATTTTAGAAAACAGGTATGTTAAAAGTTCTTATTTCCTAATCCAGTAATAATGTAGTGAAAGACGAGATATATGGAAATTGTATGAATCCAACCTGCCCTGAACAACATAGTCTTGAATTATATAGATTCTTAAAGGTAAGTTTAATTAAACTTGGTGGGTGTTACTTCTGAAGCACATATTTTTCAACTCTGACTATTAATGATGCATTGACCCTCCGTGTACACTTTCAAAGAAAATAACTACGGTAAAGAAAACAAATCAATGTAACTTAAACTGGAACCTTTGAGGAATCTTTCATTTATTGCTTCCTTCTATAAAAAGTTCCAGAGTTCAATCTTATCATGTAAAATTGAAGGACAATTTGGGTTTTTCTGCTTCCACAATACTTTTTACAGAATTTCAAAAGTAGCTAAACATTGTTCCCGTTCAATAGCTGTTATTTCCGAAGAAAACAATTGTAGATTTCTGAATTCTTGAATTCTGTGTTCATTGTATTGTTTTTCTCTATTGTTTTCTCTTCACTGTTTTTTCTTTGAGGGAAACGGGGAAAAATCATAATGTATTCCAAACTAAATTAAAAATACAACTCTTCCTTTAACAGAATTGACAAGGCGCATACCTTAGATAGCCACCATGATAGTGCAGCAATATTACACTATTAATATGAATAGGCCATCCAATTTCATTTGAAGTTTCTCTCTTACCTTTACAGATCACAAATACATATTTACATCTCATGTGCACATTATGGAAAACGTAGCTATGGGGAAAGATATTTAGGACCAATTTAACCAGTCTTCAAATTTTCCTGGTTTCAGATCTTTGGGAAGGGACTTTCCATCCCACAACAAGCTGAAGTACTGTATATTTGGTGGGGAGAAGGTTATAGGTTCTTTCAGGCTTTGGAATTCCCTGGTTAGAACAAGACAAGGATATTCTTTGTCACCATTGTTCTTTGTTTTAACTCTTGGAGTATTGATTAGAGACATAAGACAGGATGAGATAGTTGCTGGAGAGAAGATTGAGCATATAAATTATAGCATTTGGTGATAATTTTGGAAGACCCTTTGGAAAGAATAGCAATATTAATGAAAAAATTAAACAATTTTATTGTGATAGCAGGATTTTAAAGTTAATAATGAGAAAATGATGATGCTAACTAAAAGAAGGATGGAAGAGCAAAAACTGGTAAAAAATGAGATAGAGATTTTCAGATTGAGAAAAAAATAAAATGAATTATATGTTATTTCAAACTAATTATACTAAGGTTTCAAGAACGAATTCAAGAAGGATATGTTAAGATGGGGAAAATTACTAAATTGTCATTGTGATAAAATGAATGTATTGCCTAGAACACGGGAAGGCAACCTTGGCTCTTTTATGACTCGTAGACTTCAGCTCCCAGAATTGGAGGTTGCCTACCATGATGTTTTTGTATCAAACAATACCATTTTTGTCAACTGATGTTCCATTTAAGCAATGGCAAAAAAATATAGCTAGATTCATATGGGAAGAAATAAAAGAAGACTTATTCAGGATGCAAAGGAGTGAGGAGAATTGGGATTGCCTAATCTAAAATTGCACTCTGCACCCTACTGTTTGGTTTGAATAAAATAATGGATGTTATTGAGAAATAAGAGAATTTTAAAACTAAAAGAACACAACCTGAGATATGGATAGCATGGTTTTTGATAATATGATAAAGGTAAGGTTAATGTATATTTTAAAAATCATTACACTTATTGAGGATATAGAATAGATACAAACAGTGGTGGGATTCAAATATGTAAACAATTGGTTCTCTGTGTGGATGCTGCTTCCGGAAGTCCATTCTGGACCTGGGCAACAAAAAATTAGCTACTGGTTCTGCTGAATGGTGCGAACTGGCTGAATCCCACCACTGGATACAAACCCAGGCTGTGCCTGAAAATGCCTTTTGTGAAATAACAAAAAGAAATGGTTAACATATTGAGAGTTATTAAAACAAGAACACGGAGAATATAACATGTAGTCAAAAGAGCAATTGACCTCAGAGGGATTTAGTTTCCAATAGTTTTCATCTGTAGAGTTAAGAGAAAGATTTAAAGTAGACAAAAGGACATTAGGAACTGAACAATTTAAGACAGAATTTGAAACTGAATTATGTGAAAATGATGAACATTATACATTTAATTGTTAAAATATATATGTTTACTGAAATTTGAAACAGGGGAAGAACAAATTAAAGAGTGTATGATAAAATGGGCTAAGTACTTCAATTATACAGATGGATCAATGGGAAACAATATGGTTGAAAGGACTAAAATTCACTTTTCGTTACAATTTAAAAGAGAATGTAAAATGCTATATTGGTACATGACATCAGAAAAACTTTTTAGAACGTATAAAGGTGCTTCAAACTTATATTAGAAATATGGTAAACATGAATAGACATTTTATAATGCTCGAAGGATTTGTAAAAAAAGAAAAAATGGATTAAAATATACACAATGATACAAGGAATTTAAATATGAAGTGAAAAATCAATATCAATACATTTACAATCGCTATAAAGAAAATTAACTGTTTCTTTATATACCCTTTTTCTTTTGTTCTTTTCTCTTTTATTTCTTACTCTTTTTTAAAAAAATTGTATTGTTTTTAATCTGTAAAAATGTCTTCAGTAAAAATTAATTAAAAAAAAGATTTCCCTGATTAGAGTATTAACTGATTACTTGATAGCCTTTGATATGAAAATCTTTTTTTTTTGGAGACAAGCTTGAAATCTACCAAGGTGACATGTTTTATTTGTTACTGCTATTGTATTAAAGTGACTCACATAGCAATCTGGTTTTATATACTCATTTTTTTAGTTGCCTTATACAACAATTTATGAAAAAGTGAGCTATAAATGAATCCCTATTTAATTCTATAAAAAATGCAGCAGATGGAAAGTTTAGCCCTTTCTTCCAACTGCTTTCTTTGTAAAATCATCCAAAGCTATTAGTACTTCAAGAAAAGTATTGTAAATGTCCTTGACAAAACAGCTTTTGAGGAATATTTTTCATTTAGATTATGACAAAGAAGAAAAAGGAAAAAAAAGATCTTCCCTTCATTTTGCAGTGACCAACCTCCCATTCCAATGATTGTTATTATTGTTGATCTTCTAATTTTAAATAATAGATTTTGGGGGCTCTAATTGCAAGGACGAGTAGTTGTGTTAGCAATCTGAAGACACTTCATTACAAATCATTTTCTTGAATCGGTGGACAGATTTCATCATGTTTTCCCACTGATCCAATTTCTTCCCTAGATTATTGATCAATGCAGAAGGAAGTGTAGTCTTGTTCCAGTTTGAAGAAGTAGAATGGGATCATAATCAGCCTTCTGATAGAATACCTAACCAAACACTCACGAGCAAATTTCATGACATACCAACCCAAATAAAGCCTTCTCCATTTTCAAAATCTATGCGGGAGAAACGCGCCAGAAAGAAAAATTGGAAGCTATACAGAGAAGATGATGACACAGTGCTTTCCTATTACATTTCCCAGCATGCCACAAGATTATCCAAAGGTGTTCCAGGTATGTACGTGTTTGCATGCATATGTATGTATCTACTGTATATCACATTGGCAAGAAGAATCCTTTCTGCCAACAATTTTGTCAGGATGAGCAGAGGGTGATGTAGGATTGGTCAACAGGTAGTCTTTTCTTCAGATCAATAAGATAAATACCATCTACAAGTATGTAGTGTATGTTTTGCACATTGCACTTAGAAGGAAATGAAAGGGTGATATGATTACGTTAAAGTGAAAAATACACTCAGTTCATTACATATACACTGAACTATAGAGTCCAAAAAAATCACATGATAACTAGGACAAGTATAAAGTATAAAGATAAAAAGGACAAGTATAGAAAGTGAAAAGAGGGGAACATAACAAAGTCAGAATATCAGCAAATAGCCTGAGCCTGCAAAGATGAAGTGAAGAAAGCCAAGGCTCAAAATGAACTAAGGCTTGCGACCAAAGTCAAAAATAACAAAAAACGCTTCTTTCAACATGTAAAAAACAAGAAAAAAGTGAAGGAAATGATTGGTCCAGTAGTGGGTGGAAGTGGCAAGAAGGTGACAAGCAACAGGGAGAAAGCAGAACTATTTAACTCATTTTTTGCATCTGTCTTTACACAAAGGGAAAAAACAGACCAACCTATCAAAAATAGTGCCATAAAAAACAAAATAGAAACACAAGTTAAGATAGGCAAGAAAATGGTAAGTGAGCACCTGTCCAGCCTAGATGAGTTCAAATCGTCAGGACCAGATGGATTACACCCCAGAGTTCTCAAGGAACTGGCAGATGTGATATCGGAACCACTGAACTATATTTTTCAAAGATCCTGGAACATAGGGGAACTACCAGAGGACTGGAAAAGAGCTGATGTAGTTCCCATCCTCAAAAAAGGAAAAAAAATGGATCCAGGAAATTACAGATCTATCAGCCTGACCTCAATACCTGGGAAGATCCTGGAAAAGATAATCAAACAACAAATAAATGAACACCTAGAGGCAAACAAAGTCATTACTAAAAGCCAACATGGGTTTGTCAAAAATAGATCATGCCAGACAAATCTTGTTGCATTCTTTGACCAAGTGACAAAATTAGTGGATCAGAGGAATGCTGTGGACATAATTTACTTGGACTTCAGTAAGGCATTTGATAAAGTAGATCACAACCTACTACTTGATAAGATAGAAAAATGTGGGTAGACAGAATCACCACCAGATGGATCCGTAGCTGGCTGACCGGCCGTACTCAGCGAGTGGTCCTCAATGGAACTGCATCTATATGGAGGGAAGTGTGTAGTGGGGTGCCCCAGGGCTCTGTTCTGGGCCCAGTACTCTTCAACATCTTCATCAACGATTTGGATGCAGGGATAGATGGGGAACTCATCAAATTTGCAGACGACACCAAGCTGGCAGGAATAGCCAACACTCCAGAAGACAGGCTTCAGATACAGAAGGATCTGGACAGACTTGAACACTGGGCACTAACTAACAAAATGAAATTCAATGGTGAAAAAAGCAAGGTTCTAAATTTAGGCAAGAAAAACCAAATGCACAAGTACAGCATAGGTGGCACCATGCTCAATAGTAGTAACTGCGAGAGGGACCTCGGAGTCCTAGTAGACAATCACCTAAATATGAGCCAGCAGTGTGCTGCAGCTGCCAAAAAGGCCAACACAGTGCTAGGCTGCATTAACAGGGATAGAATCAAGATCACATGAAGTATTAATACCACTCTTCAATGCCTTGGTAAGGCCACACTTGGAATACTGCATCCAGTTTTGGTCACCACGATGTAAAAAAGATGTTGAGACTCTAGAAAGAGTACAGAGAAGAGCAACAAAGATGATTAGGGGACTGGAGGCTAAAACATATAAGGAACGGTTGCGAGAATTGGGTATGTCTAGTTTAACGAAGAGAAGGACAAGGGGGGACATGATAGCAGTATTCCAATATCTCAGGGGCTGCCATAAAGAAGAGGGAATTAAGCTATTTTCCAAAGCACCTGAAGGCAGGACAAGAAGCAACGGGTGGAAACTAATCAAGGAGAGAAGCAACCTAGAACTAAGGAGAAACTTCCTGACAGTGAGAACAATTAATCAGTGGAACAGCCTGCCTCCAGAAGCAGTAAATGCTCCAACACTGGAAGTTTTTAAGAAGAGACCGGACAGCCATTTGTCCGAAATGGTGTAAGGTTTCCTGCCTGAGCAGGGGGTTGGACTAGATGACCTCCAAGCTCCCTTCCAACTTTACTACTATTACTATTACTATTGTGCTGTTTTTGCCAGCCAGAGGCAATACAAATTCTATCTACCTGTGAATCAGTTCTGAAGGTGATGCAGTTGCACATGTTTTGGGACAATTGCTATGTCTGCAAAAGTAATTATTCTAAGCTTTAATGGCAATAGCACTTATATACGTCTTCACAGTGCTTTACAGCTCTTTCTAAGCACTTTACAGAGTCAGCCTATTGCCCCCAACAATCTGGGTCCTCATTTACCATCTTCGGAAGGATGGAAGGCTGAGTCAACTTTGAGCCGGTAAGACTCAATCTGCCAAACTACTGGCATCCAGCAGTCAGCAGAATTAGCCTGCAGTACTGCATTCTAATCACTATGCCACCCTGGCTCTGTACTTAATGTACTCTATAATGTTCCATTATTTATACTAAGTATTATACCTGTTTAATTCTCATGGAAATATTTCAGTAAGTTTTAATAGATAACAGTGGAATTATAACAGGGACTAGAGATGCCTCCAGACAGTTTCTTAGGGCAGGACTTTTCAACCAGTGGTACGGGTACCACCTGTGGTACATTGGCACTTGGCAGGTGGTACGCGGCCATTCTAGAAAAGTGGTAGCGGGGGAGGGGAATGAGCTGAACTGGTGGTAGCACCGCACAAGCCTGAGTGAGAGACGGCTGGAGCTGCAGGGCTGTCAGGGCTCAGTGGAAGCGCCAGAATCAGCATTTCGGGGCTGTCAGGACTCAGCAGAAGCGCCAGGATCAGCACCAGACTCCAGCTGGAGCTTGGCGCTGATCCTGGTGCTTCTGCTGAGCCCAGAACAAGCACCGATCAGCTGGAATGTTGCAGCATCTCCAGGGTCTTGTGATTTACATTCAGATGCTTGGCAACTGATTCATGTTTATGATGGTCACAGTGTCCCAGGGTCATGTGAAGTGACTAAAACCTGCTGCAACCACCCAGAAGATGGGGGGAATAAAAACCAAACACCCCCCCACCCCACCCCCGCTGCCAATCCTCAACAGAAATGCTCACAACAATGAAAACCTCGGACAGGAGGAAGAGCACCGCCGGGCAGGCAGGCGTCTTGCTCGGCTGTGGTTTGGGGGGCACTTTTTTCAGTGCCATTGTAACTTCGAACAGTCACTAAGTGAACTGTTGTAAGTCGAGGACTACCTGTACTTTATCACTTTTTTCCTTTTTTGGGGGGGCATCAAGTTTTTGACACCTTGCTAAGTGACTGGTGGTCCTCGGATGTTGCCATATCCTAAAAGTGGTACAATGGGTGAAAAGGTTGAAAAGCCCTGTCTTAGGGCTATCAATCAAACAATTGTATAGATATTTTTATTTTGCTGTACTGTAATATATATTTTAATGGGGAAAAAACACAGACAAGGTAAGATAAAATAGATTCCAAGCTAAAGATATGAAACCTGTTTCGTCTTCTATAAAATTCTGCAGTGAAACAGGATAACTGTATGATAAAAGTTTCATCTGCAAACACCATGAATTATCTTTTCATATTTCTTTCAAGATTGAAAAGGTTTGGTATGCTTTTCTCCCAAAGTATTTGATATTTTTTTAAATTTGCCATATTGAGGATCTTTATGCACACAAATGTAACTTAGATATATAGCAGTGATGGCGAACCTTTTAGAGACCGAGTGCCCAAAAATTGGCCCCGCCTCCCTCCACCCCCTGTTCCGCCCCCACCCACCCACCAGCAGGGCCACTCACTGCCTCCATGGCCCACTGCAGATCACCCAGGCAGCCCAGTACCGCAATGGTGGCCACACCTTCTGCCCGCACCCCACAGCATCAACTGTGCACGATGGGGTGTGAGGGCAGAGTCTTGTCTACACTGCCTGGCTGCCATGTCCTTGGCTGCGCTGCGCCACGTGGGCCACGCGGGGGGTGACTCTCCTCCAGGGAGCTGCTGGTGAGGAGGGGGTCGCAGGGAGAGGCAAGGCTGCGGCAATGGCACGTGTGCCCAGAGAGAGGGCTCCGACTGCTACCTTGTGCCATAGGTTCGCCACCACTGATATATAGTCTCATTGCTGTATAAAATCACCCTGTGGAATTAACCCTCTAACCTAATGAGGCCATATTTAATTAGAATTATTCCACAGCAAAGATATGCAGATGATACCACTCTAATGGCAGAAAATGAAGAGGAACTAAAGAGCCTCTTGATGCGGGTGAAGAAGGAGAGTGCAAAAGTTGGCTTGAAACTCAACATTAAGAAAACCAAAATCATGGCATCCGGCCCTCTCAATTCCTGGCAAATAGATGGGGAAGAAATGGAGGTAGTGACAGATTTTATTTTTCTGGGCTCCAAGATCACCTCAGATGGGACTGCAGCCAAGAAATTAAAAGACGCTTGCTCCTGGGGAGGAAAGCTATGGCAAATCTAGACAGCATTCTAAAAAGCAGAGACATCACCCTGCCAACAAAAGTACGTATAGTCCAGGCCATGGTTTTCCCAGTTGCAATGTATGGCTGTGAAAGTTGGACCATAAGAAAGGCTGAGCGCAAAAGAATTGAGGCCTTTGAAATATGGTGCTGGAGAAGACTCCTGCGAGTCCCTTGGACTGCAAGGCGTTCAAACCGGTCAGTCCTAGAAGAGATCAACCCCGACTGCTCTTTAGAAGGCCAGATCCTGAAGTTGAAACTCAAATACTTTGGCCACCTAATGAGAAGGAAGGACTCACTGGAGAAGGGCCTAATGCTGGGAAAGATTGAGGGCAATAGAAGAAGGGGACGACAGAGAATGAGGTGGCTGGATGGAGACACTGAAGCAGTAGGCGTGAGCTTAAATGGACTCCAGAAGATGGTAGAGGACAGGAAGACCTGGAGGAACATTGTCCATGGGGTCGCGATGGGTCGGACACGACTTCGCAATTAACAACAACAACATTCCACAGCTTTCTGTTGTATCACATTTTTGGACTGCTAACCATGTGATTCTCTTCTAGCCCTCCTTTATGAAATCGTGAAGACTCCTTTACCCCGAAAGAGGGAGGGTAAGACAGCCATGATCCTGGATCCATACCAAAAGCAGAGACTCTCTGAACTTGCTCATCAAACCCTAAAGGAACAGCGATCTTCCACAATAATCAAAGTTACTTCTGGTAAAGAATTTTTGAGTATTATTTTTAAAAGTAATAACAGTTACTGATATCCACCTTTAGGCTACTGATTAGTACTGTAGAAGAATAAGCTGCATTCTTAATTTATAGGCAGAACTAAAAGTAAAAAAAATGGGTAAACTGTCATGATATCCCAATTTCTTACCAAGGTGGGATATTTTTTTTAAAAAATGGGAAAATTGGCTTGAAGTCTGCACAGACTTATTTGATTTCCCCAAATCAAAGGCAACTAGAAAAGATGACTATTCAGCTCTGTATATTTTTATTCCATAAGCTAGGATTTCTGTGCAAATCTAAAGTTATTAATTATTCAGCTAATGATGGAAAATGCTCTTAAAGAAGCAGGGGGTATTAAGCATCGTGTCCTGTCTTGCAAGTCAAAATTGGAGGCGTTCATCAAACCCCTTTAGGATAACCTTTTCACCACACATCTTCCTATAACCAGATAGTTTCCTTTATGAATTCTTCCCCTTAAAATGAAAAAAAAAATATTGGCTAAAAGATTTGGAAGGTAATTTTATTCCTCCCTTCACTCCATTTACCCAGCCCAGGGATAGGCAACCTTGGCTCTTTTATGACTCATGGACTTCAACTCCCAGAATTCCTGAGCCAGTATGGCTCAGCTTGAAAACCTCTCCTTTTCCCCTCAGCATGGCTGAGGAATTCTGGGAGTTGAAGTCCACGAGTCATAAAAGAGCCAAGGTTGCCTAGCCCTGACTTAACCCTTCTGCTGTAGCCATCCATCTCTGTTCCTATTCTTTCTCTCCATTCACCTCCATGTAGATGTGCGCTGTCCCCATTCATTGCCAAACAAACCATTCAGCCCAAATGGATATTCTTCCCTGCATCCAGCATCCAGCATCATATAATGTGAATGAAAAGAAATCTTTTAGAATTATAAATAAAATGATATAGGTTTGAGCTATTTGCCAAACACATCTTTTTATTACTTACCAACCTTTGCAGCACTGTGAATATAAGAAATTCAATATTCTCATTTACAACACTAAAGAGAGAATTTGGCACAAGAATTACACATTGTATTTAAAATTGAATATAGATACACTTTAAAAAAAATGACAAAAGAAACCAAGAGTCCTGTTGAATTTCTGCCTGGTTTTCACAAGCCCTAAAGCTTTCTAGCTTTATCAAAAATGAAAATCTGACTGAGGTCTAGAGTAATGTACAAGGACAATTTGGAAATAAAACTCTGTTTGCTTATCAATGATAGACACTTGCAGATAGAGAACTTTTATTATACGCATTAGAAAACTACAACATTACATTACTTTTCGATATAATTGCCATTCAAAATGAGGTACTTGTCATAACATCTTACAAGGTTTGAAATTCCTTACTTGTAGTCGCTCGGTGCCAAATCTGGGCTATGGCGGGGTGTGATCAAAAACATCTCAATGGAACTGCTTCAAAAGTTCTTGGGTGCATCTAGCGGTGTGCGGGCGAGCATTATCGTGAACCAACACCACACTGGAAGTGGTGCCATAAAAAATCCCTCCAAATGTGAAGATGCCAAAGGAGTACTGCTAATGAAGTCCATGGAGCGTGGTTCGACGATAAGTTCAGAAACCTACTGTGAAATGTTACAAAAACTCAGACGAGCATCAATAACAAGCATTGGGGCATGCTTGGAAGTGCTGGCCTATGGTGCAGTTGCACTGTTCCCCAAGACTCACAGGCTTTGGGGCATGGTGCAAGTTTTATTTTTCAGTTGCAGCAGTCGTGTTAGGACTGAAGTCAAAGCCCAGGCCCTGACTTCAGGCCTAGCCTTTGTGCTACTGTCAAGTGTCATTGTTCAAGGTAGCCTAGATGGAGGGGAGATAGAGAATTGTTTCTCTTTTGTTTTGTGTGGGATGTGACACATCAGCAGAATCAAGTCAGGCATTTTCCAGATTTTTGACATACCAAGCTCAAAAGGTTTGCCATCACTGATCTAATGTATACTCAGTTGGAAATAAGCTTCACCATAAGCTTACTATAGGTAAGTGCTCATTGAATGCAATTATGATTTGCAAATTATTACCCTCCCAAAAATAGATATTTGGGGAAACTGTTAGGAGAGTTGCTTTGGCAAGTATCAGCCCAGGCACAGCACTCAATAGACCCTGGGACAGGATGAGTTATGACTTGATCCCTGATATTGGATTCCTGTCGTATGATTGTGATTGGGTTTTATTTTTTTTCTTCCTGCCATTGGCTATTACTGTTGATGGTTTTTGTGTTTATTTTTGTTGTCAATTATCAGATGTTTTTAAAACGTAATCCTCTGTGATTAAGATGACACATTGGTTCATTGAATTAATAAACAGTTTCCTGGGGTTTTCAGTAAAGCTTCTGATTTTTCTAATTCTAGAAGTACCTTTTTATGTCAGTTTTTGAAGACCAGGTTGGGGGCCTTCTGCTGAGTTGCCCCTGCTTTCTGTCCTCAAGTTCTGTTCTGATGTCAGTAGGTAGTATTTTAGGCTTAAACTCCTCTCTTTTCTTTTTTTAAAACAGATGAGGAATTAGTATCAGAAGCTCCAGCCCCTTCCTCATTTGCCCAGAATACCAAGGCTTTGTTAAATCACATAAAGAAGAGGCATCCTATTGGTCCCATATCTAATGATCAGATACTCCTCACTGTCAGTACAGTACACCATGCCTACCAAAATGATGATGTCAATGCCAATATGGCATACAACATGAACATTAATGATGCTTGGGAACCTGTTCAGCCCAAGAAAGAACTGCCCAGATCATCTCTATCTACTCAAAGTTCAAAGTACAAGGCAATAGATCTAGCAACCCAAGTGAAACAACTAAAGGCTGCTGGTGGCACTTTAGGTATGGAAAAGATTTCCTCACCTTATGAAACCAAAATACTACAGCTCAACACAAAGAATTCTTTGCTTGGGGGTAATGTGAAATCCTTCATTCCTCCCCCCTCTATCACACGTTCCAAGTCTTGCAGCAGTTTGTCAAGAAAAAAAGCTTATTTTAAGATCTCATCTGCTGCTGCTGCTGAGAGTAATATCATTGGTGGCTTTACAAGTTCAGTTGAATCCATCAAAATACCACGAATGAAGATTGCCCAACCTGATACCAATGTAACTTCACGGCGCAGAAAATTTTTCCATGCCCTTAATGTAAATCCTTATCGTTATAATTCTGGGTTTCAACTTCTGACTACACAACAAATGAAAGAATATGAAGAAGCTAAGATTGCAGAGTATCAGGCAACCAAGACAAAAGTTATTGCAAATAGAGAAAAAGTGTGTAAAAATGCTTGGGTGAGGAAAATTAAAGGGCTTCCTATAGATGACTTTACTAAGGAGGGCAGAACTGCTGCTCCTGAACTTGGAGATAATGTTTTCATTTGAGACTAATTGTTTTAATACAACTGACAAACCCTGCAAACAAATGCAAAATTCTGGCCCAGGTACTCTTGATGTCCTCTGCTGAAACTTTGCCCTATTTCCCTCTTTTGGGAGACTGTGACAAACTGTACTATATCGATTAGACCTTTGTTTTCAAAAATTGGGACTCTTGAGTTTCCCTCCCTTTCCCAAAATAATTCCAGTTTGCAACATTTCTATTTTAAAGTTCCCGTTCTGTTCATGCAGGTTTATTTAAAAGATTGATGATACCTTTTGTAAATTTTGCTTCAGAAATTATATGTGTGCATTCCTGTTGTGTCTTACTTAGCTGATATCTTAATGTAACTGTTTCACTGTGTAGTTATAAAAGTTATCAAAATTATATCTTTACAAAATATTTTTAAGAACTTGAAATTAGTATTGTTTTGTACTGTACTTTCTTATAGAGTAAGTCTTTGCTTTACAGACTTTGTTCTTAGCTGCAAAACAACAGAGATCAAATCAAATGCTTTTATTTATAATTTGCATAAATGACACAGCAGGGTAGAAGTACTGTATATAGTCCTAGAAGGAAAATTTAAGTTAGTGACCCTTCTCCTCACATAAAAAGCTCCTTGGGAGCAACTGAATCACACTTCCAGCAATACCTTTTTGTTAGCAGATACCTGAGGGGAGAGGGAAGCTGTTATAAAATAACAGGAGCATCTATAGGTTCTTGCTACATTTGTCAAAGCTCTGCCCCTTTGAAGTATGCATGCAATCAAAAATTAGGCACACATTCAAAAATTGGGTAGGACTTGGGACACAGTCAAAAATTGGGTAGGACTTGGGACACAACATTGCAGTGCACTGTACATCACTCTGAGCTGATCAGAAGGAAAAACAATGGCCACAAAAATAACAATTTGAAAAAAAAATGGATGGATGGTATTAAAGCTAAAGTATTAGTCTGCACTGAAGAGATCCAGGTTCTCATTTACATTTTTTCAGGTCATTTTTTCACAGACTAGATGGGACAGTGGGGAAGGGAGATGCAAATGCTATTGAAAAAAGTAAGATGGAAGTTAAACATATTTTAGCATGGGTGCTTTCTACCGTCATCTGGCCCCAAATATTGCAGAGGCTTTTGGCAGGAAAGATTGAATTTCAGCTTAACTGCATCAGGTCAGCCATCACTATAGCCTATGCGCCTGCTCCTTGCGTGTAGTTTAATTTGGCTATATTCCTCAAAGATATGGAAAGAACTTAAAATAACAATTCAAATTCAAAGATTTTGCCTGCAAATCATGCTTAAGAATAATGTTAAAATCATGTGTTTTGGAAGAATGAAGCAAACTATTTTGAGAGCAGCCATGGACAGAAAAATATAATAGGAAAGTTAAATATTTTTGAACCATATAATTATTAATAGTAAATATTTAAAGGCAAGTTTATTTTCTCATGTTTCACAAGTATGCAGTGGGTAGCACACACAAAAACATCATTTGTAAGCATTATAGTGGGATGTCCTATATATAAAAAAAACCCTTTTATTTTGCCAGTAGGTTGTATTAGCAGATGGGTCTTATGCACTTCCACATACTTCCTTAGTGCACTAATTGTTAGGAAAAAAATAAGCTCAAGTATTTAACATTCACTATTGTATTGTTATGACAAAATATTTTTTATTTTGCATCATTACTCAGATCTTTCACAGAGACATCCATCTCTCAGTTTTCTTCACAGAAGATAATGGGAGCTACAAATATGGAGCAAGATTATTACAGAAAAAGACAAAAATGGGTTGTTACATCTGTCAATGTCCTTGAAGATCCTAGAGGCCATCCATCCAACACTCTAAAAATATAGCCAGATAGATTTTATCAGGGCCCTCCTCCCACCCACATTGTTAAATCACGTTCAGTGCTTTCATTGATGCTTTGCAGTTAAAAAAAAAAAAAACTGAGGGAGACCTGGAAAGCTTCTAAGTCTGTATACTTAGTTGTATTTAAAATACTGATGAAATCCAGTTTTGGCATGCTACTACAAATCCTATACATCTGCAGGAAAAGGAGAGAGATTAGTTTAAGAAGAAAAGGTTGCTGTCAATTGGAGAATGACCAGCCCGGAGACTGTAGAGAGCTTCATAGTGGAATGGAAACAATCTTTATTGCAATGTTTAGGGAGCAACCCGTTTCCAAAAATCTTGCCAGGAAAATTGCAGGGATTTATCCAGGCAGTTGTCAGGAGTGAAGACAGACTCAAGAGCACACTTTCCTCAAAAAACTGCAACGTTAGGATGAATCCAGAAATAAATGGGCTCAGCTGCCAGTGTGCAATACAAGTGCAAATCTAATTATGGAATGATGCAAAGCCTTGATAAGTAAGTGTCCTTAATTTTCATGCTGCTCTTCAATCTGCACAATTGCTGATTCCTTCGGATACATAGAAGCCAAGATCCCGGCCTAACCTTGGGATGGGCGGCATCCCTGGAAAAATCTGAAAGAAAAACTGCTCCTGAGAACATCCTGTGCAGTGTCCCTTTGCTGTGCGGATTATTCATCTCTATGAAGTAATTTTTCGGGAGATATTAGAACAGTTTTGCGAGTTGAACCAAAAGCTGCACAACACCTAATCTATAATAAAGCTAAACACTGTGCCGGCAGCTTAAGAGCTAAAAGAATAGAACAATTATTATTGCAATATGTTTCATTTTGAGTGCCAAGCTACACCTTCCCCATTTTATTCACTTTAAATTCCTGACTTTCTCCAGAGAGTCATAATGGGATGTCCTATGATGCAGTGTTTCTCAACCTTAGCAACAGCCGGCATGGTATTCTGACAGTTTTAGTCCAAACATCTTAAAGTTGATAAAGCTGAAAAACATGGCTTAGAGAAGTCTCTCTTACTTTACTTGGGATGGAGATATTCTAATCGTAAAACTGAGATGAGCGCTCTATATTGTATATCTCTCAGTCAATGTTGACGGCTTTCCATTGGAATTGGAATTGGACGCATATCTTGGCGTCCGTCGCACGTTGATGACGTAGACGGCTTTGCTTGGGGAGTCGGTTGTGACGTGGCAGAAGGCGGAAGCAATGTTGCGGCAGGTGGGCGCTAAGGGGCTATTATTTCCTCGCTTGGGTCAGGGACGCTGAATGGGTTTCCGACTTCGGGGCTGAAGGGACTTTTAAATATTGGAGAGGGAGGTGAGCTGGAAAAGGATCTGGTGGAGGACTTTCAAGCCAAGGTCGTGGCTGCAGAAAATGAGTACATCTAGATGAAGCCCATCCTAACCTACACAAGTTATAGCTGCTTTGTTAGAAGAGGGGAAGACCAGCTTGGTTCTTACTCTCATCTTTCTTCCTTCTCCTGCGATGTCTGGGCTATGCTCGCATCTTCCTTCTCCTGCGATGTCTGGGCTATGCTCACAAAGCATTGCTTTCTGTCCCTGCCCCCCAATTGTTAAATGTTTTTGTATATAGCTTTTAATTTGGGTGTGTGTGGAGGAGTTGCATTTCTAAGGCTCCCAGGCATAATTGGAATGGAATTGTATAATATCGAAGTAAAATCCTCTGATGAACTCTAGCAACAAGTTAAGATTAGGACTATAGGGTATGAAAATCCGACGTCAGCAAGACAGCAGCATATAGCGAACTCTAACGATTGCTGTTGCCTACTGGTCATCTGCATTTTTAGCTCAAATATTGTAAGATGCCCCTAAGATAACGCACAAATAGCAGGTTGACTGCAGGATTACATTATGCTTAGAGTAGTTTCATTTAGTAGTTATGCAACTAGGTATATGTTCCACTTACGATTTATAATATCTTCTAGAGTCATCCAACAATCATTCTGAAAGATCAGTTATGAGTATGAGTCTATTTTTCCCCAAATTGGGTAGATGGCCCTGAAGGTTTATAATTCATTAATGAAGAAATGGATTTAATATTTAAGTTATACCCTCCCTTCACTCACAGGCTCAAAGTAATGAACTTGGAATTCACTTATAATTTTCCCTGCAACAACAACCCTGGGGTGCTGAGGCTAGAGATTCTCAGAAAGAAATACTCATGTGCAGTAAAGGGATACCAGTATCCTATTGTTACCTTCTTAAATATATCTGACAGCTCTAAATGTAAAATTTTACTAACATCAGAGCATTATCAACAATGATATCAGAGAATGTTTTCAGAATTGTGTTATTTGGTTTTCATTAGGGATATAATTTTAGCTTTAAACAATGCCATGATTTTATCCTTAATTTTAGGTTATTCTTAGCTCAGGTTTTAAGTATTTTTAGTTTATTAATAATGGTATGTTAAAATGCTATATACACATTCATAGAAAATCATCAGAATTGATGTTTTCTTTGTGGTGCTGTTTTTTGATCACTTATTTTATGCTTTCTTTGAAATAATTATATTGGTTGATTGAAGGCTAAGAAATCGATAACAAATCCAATAACCAGAGTTTATTTTTTGCCCCAGTCTTACCAATGATACCAATGATAATGCTTACAGTAAATTCATAAACATGTTTGTTCCACCTATGTACAAAGAAGACTATGATTATTCACTTTTTTAGCTGCCAAGTTATATAAAGTAAATAAGTATGTAAATGGTTGCAGTGATGGTGAGACAAGGAGTGTGATCTCCCCATACACCTTTAAAATAATTTTTAAGGAGAAGATAGTGTGCAAAAATAAGGCCCAAATGCTGCATTGAAGAATTATTGCTAATTAATAAACAGAAGATTAGACAAACAAATATTCTGAGGGTGAAAGTGTAATACAGATTTTGGCATCATTGGTATTGGCTTCAAATATCAAATAATTAAACATAGTCCCCAATATACTTATTTAGCCATCTGCTTTTTAACATTGCATAATCTTAGTTTCAAGAATGTACATCTTCCTGAAAACTTGCTTTAGAAATCTTGTTGAAGGGCCCATGAAATATTTTCTAGTTTAATATAGAATAACTACTCTTATTAAAAGAAATAAAATTTTTGTTTAATCTGTTGCATTCCTTTTTATATTGATATTAACTAAACAAGAAATAGACCCATGTTTTGCTATAGAGTTTTAAAATAAAAAACTTAGATTATGTTGCTATTATTTTAATCAGAGTTTAAAATAATAATTTCAAGTGAAATTATGTATTACTATACCAAAATACTGGTTCCTCATTTCTATGTAATTTTCTAAATTTCATCCGGAAGCACCACAGAATCTGGCATTTTCACCAGAATGATGCTGATGCTGATAAAAGCTTTATCTTGATTTGTTATATATATAAGTCAAGCCTGTAAACATACCTAATACTCCTGCTTCTTATTTTTCTCATATAATAACTCTGTGAGAATCATAGTGGCATTCCACCTCACATCATATGTTCAAAGGGGATGGAGCTTGCATCAGAATGTTTGTTTAATCATCTTCCCCATATCCTCACCTCCAGGCACCTATAGTTTTATCACAATGGCATAGGTTGGAGTTTTTTTGTTGAATTGTTGCACAAGGGTATATATTTATAAAAAACCATGTTTTAAATCTATATTTATCTCTCTAGGATAGTAATGATGAGACAGAAGATGTTTCGCTTTTTGATGGAGAAGTTGAAATGTCCAGAAAGCCCAGGAAATCAAGAATAAAGTAAGTCTGGAAGTAAGAGGCTGCTATGTCTTAACAGGCTTTTGGGGCTATAGTTAAAAAAAAAGTTCTGGCATGACTTAAGTCTCTTAAGAAACATTTACAAATATAATTTGATTTAGTAACCATGGTGGTAGAATCCTGTGTAGGTGTAGAGGTTGAAAATATTTTCATTAATATCAGCATAGATTCTGCTTTCGTGGTCAAATTTAGGGGAAGACTTCCATAAAATGAACTGCAATATTTACTTATCTCTTTACCCTCAGCAGACATTTGCAAGAAAATGATGTTGTGGAGTATGGTCTTTCAAGTTAAAGAATTTGTTTGATTTATATTTTTCACATTAATAATCATCATCATCATCATCATCATCCCCCAGTGAGGCACTACCTTGACGTGGTTGTGGGGCTTGTGTACTCTGAGGAAGATGAGAGCTATGCCAGAAGTTCAACCATATTGGTCTCATCAGAGGAGTCAGACAAAGAGTGTCTCTCCCATAAAAAATATGGTGAGACGTAAATTTCAGAATGCCATACCGGCTCGGATGTCGCCCGGGTTAACAAGGTCCGCGCTAGATATTGGAGTTCCTGGATATCTGGTGAAAAATGGGTTACAGGACTCAGGACTGTTGGCTGAGCAACCAGGGCCAGCAGCTGCAGAAATACTGGAAGAAAAGGTGTTTACCCGTCGCAGATACACAGTGATGGAAAACAAAGAAATAATGATCTGTTACTACAGATCAAATCCAACAAGACAAGGATATCTAAAACGAATGCACCAGTTCTGGAAAGAACAACATCCAGAATCAGAAATAACAGAACAGAGACTAGCAGATCAACGCCGATTTATAATACAAAATAAAGTATTCACAGAAACAGAATTGGACAAACTGCAAAGGTTTACCCAGGGCAAAGAAATCAAAGCCTTACCAGAAGTAATTCAGAATGTAGAGGCAAACCAAGGGGAGTTGGCAGTGAAGGAATCCAGCAGAGATATACAACTGCTCTCATTTGGAAACCAGGCACCTCTTCCTCAGGAAGAACAAAACCTTCTAACTAAAGAAATAAAAGAATTGAAACAAAGAATAACTGAGCATCTAGAATAGCACAAAAACAACAGAATAAGGCTGCCTGCATTGAAGCTTGTTCCAAAGAAACAGCTAGCACAAGCATTAAAAGATGCAAATACTGCAATATCAAGTATAAGCACCAATTCACTGCAAGAAACAAACCAACTAATGTACAGCAAAGCTGCAGTTATAACTGAATACCTGTGATGCAAAATTAACAAAGAAGAAAAACAAACAAACAGTGCACCAGAAAAATGGAAAGTTAGACTAGAAAATAAGATCAGCAAGTTAAGATCACATGCAAGCAAGCTAGAACAGATGAAAGAAAAGAAGCTGAAGAACAAGAAGACCAAAGAATACCTAATCAAGAAATACCACTTAGAAACAAGGAAGATCAAGGAAGCACTGGAAATAATAAAGCAACAAATAACAGCTATAGCCAGGAAAATCAGTAGATATGAAGCTCGAATTGCAAACTATAGGCAGAACCTCCAATTTCAATCCAATCAGAAACGTTTCTACCAATCCATCAATGGAGAAACTGCAAGGAATCAGTCAGTACCTGACAAGGAAGAAACAGTGCAGTTCTGGAAGCAGATATGGGATAACCCAAAGAAATACAACAAGGATGCGGCTTGGTTAAAAGAGGTGGATGCAAATAGAACAGAAGTTGAAATGAAAGAACTAGTAATAACAACAAAAATGGTAGAAAAAAGAGCAAAGAAAATCAAAAATTGGTCAGCACCAGGTGAAGATGAACTGCATGGGTTTTGGTTGAAACATCTAACTGTTATACACCCACTCATTGCCAAGCAGTTCAACAATATACTACAAGGAGGAGAAATTGAAAAGTGGCTAACAACTGGGAAAACCTACCTAATAATAAAAAATCCAGCAAAAGGGGCAACACCAGGCAACTACAGGCCAATTACCTGCTTACCAACAACTTTCAAATTACTAACTGGTGTGGTAGCTGATGCAGTACAACAGCATCTAGTTGAAAACAATCTCTTTCCACCTGAGCAGAAAGGAAACCGCCCCAATAGCAGAGGAACAAAAGATCAACTCCTAATAGACAAAATGATCTTGGAAAACTGCAAGAGAAGGAAGACCAACCTGAATGTGGCATGGATTGACTACAAAAAGGCATTTGACTCTCTGCCACATGATTGGATAATCAAGTGCCTAGAAATAACAGGAGTCAGTAGAAACATCAGAAAATTTGTGCAAAGATCGATGGCACAATGGAAGACACAGTTGCAGATCAATGGTGAGAGACTGGGAGAGGTTAATATCAAGAGAGGAATATTTCAAGGAGATTCATTATCACCATTACTATTTGTTATTGCACTGTTTCCTCTGTCAACAATACTGAATAACTCAGGACATGGCTATCAAACATCAAAAACATCTGCCAGACTATCCCACTCCTTTACATGGATGATCTGAAGCTGTATGGAAAAACATCATCTGAAATAGAATCGCTGCTCAACACTGTCCGTATATATAGCCAAGATATTGTAATGGAGTTTGGCTTGGACAAATGTGCCACACTTACTATCAAACAAGGAAAAATAGTGAAAACTGAAGGAATCAAGATGCCCCACGAAAATAACATTAAGAGTCTGGATGAGGAAGAGTACTACAAATACTTGGGTATCCTTCAAGCTGACAACATCAAGCACACTGAAGTCAAGAAAAAGATTAGAGGTGAATACATCAAGAGAGTGAAGAAGATCTTAAAGTCCAAACTCAATGGAGGAAATACCATAAAGGCAATCAACACCTGGGCAATTCCAGTCATTAGGTACACAGCTGGAATAGTGGACTGGACTCAAGCAGAACTAAAAGCAATGGATAGGCAGACCAGAAAAATAATGACAATGAATCATGCCCTTCATCCACGCAGTGACATTGATAGACTTTATCTACCAAGGCAAATAGGTGGGCGTGGAATGCTACAAGTACATCAGATGGTTGAAGAAGAAAAAATGGCTTTGGAAGAATATCTGAAGAACAATGATGAAGATGCACTGAAATTAGTATATCAGGAAGGCTTACTGACTACTGGAGAGACCAAACTGGCCTACAAGAAAGACCAAATGAAGAACAGAATAGAGGCATGGGAAGACAAAGCACTACATGGCCAATACATTAAAAAAATAGCTGGGAAAGCAGATAATAATAAAACCTGGCAATGGCTAAGAGCAGGAAAATTGAAGAAAGAGACCGAGGGACTAATTCTGGCTGCACAAGACCAAGCCTTAAGGACAAATGCATACAAAGTCAAAATTGAGAAGACAGCAACAGACAGTAAGTGCCGCCTATGCAAAGAAGCTGAAGAAACAGTGGACCACCTGGTAAGCTGTTGCAAGAAGATTGTATAGACTGACTACAAGCAGCGGCATGACAAAGTAGCAACAATGGTGAATTGGAAGATCTGCAAAAAATATCATTTGCCTGTAAGCAAAAACTGGTGGGATCATAAAATAGAGAAAGTCATAGAAAATGATAAAATTAAACTGCTCTGGGACTTCAGAATTCAAACAGACAAGCACCTGCAACATAGCACCCCAGACTTAACAGTTGTTGATAAGAAAGACAAAAAAGTCTGGATAATGGACGTGGCAGTGCCTGGAGACAGCAGAATAGACGAGAAAGAACTGGAGAAGATCACAAAATACAAAGACCAACAAATAGAAATAGAAAGACTGTGGCAAAAGCAAGCAAGGGTAGTACCAATAGTCATAGGCTCCTTGGGTGGAATCCCAAAACAACTGGAGCACCACTTGAACACCATTGGCATTGACAAATTCGCTATTAGTCAATTGCAAAAGGCGGTCTTACTAGGAACTGCTTCCATCCTCCGACGATATCTATAATACCATCAAACATCCACATCTGCCTATCCCAGGTCCTGAGTAAGGACTCGATAGGTAGACAAAATGCCAAATCCAGTCTGAACATCTGGCTGACTGTGCGATGATCCATAATAATAATAATAATAATAATAATAGTTTTCATCCTGCAATAATACCTTTAATACTCCTAAGCAACTTCTACCTAGCTCAGGTCCTTGGGAAGGACTCAGTAGATGGACAAAAATGCCAAATCCACTCTAAACACTTGACTGACTGTGTGACCAATCATAATAATATAGTTATGCTAATAAGAACATTGTTGCCTTTATGAAATTGGAATAATGGCATAAATTCTAAAGCTTGATTTGGCCAGATTAAACACTGAAATCAATAACCAAATTATTTTCTTCCTACGTCTTTTACAGACACCCTATAGCTTCCTTTTTCCACTTGTTCTTCCGGGTCAGTGCAATAATTGTCTACTTACTTTGTGAATTGCTCAGCAACAGCTATATTGCTTGTATGGTGACAATCATCTTACTTCTGTCGTGTGACTTTTGGGCAGTGAAGGTAAGTCATTTTGTAATATGTTGATACTTGAAAATGCTTGTTATCAGAGAAATTGGTAGTACAGGGAACAGTACTATTAATCAAAATTAGAATACTAATTTTGATTTTACTTAGCTTGCTTTTCTCTCTGCTCCTCAAGTACAGAGATCAAAGTAATGAGCTGGAGGGAGGGTGCTCTTTGGTGCTTTGAGCTATTTTACTAAAGTTATATTAGAACACGTGTAGAATGGAATTTCCATCTTAACGTATAATGAAGTTTGTATTTGCATTCAAATATAACGAAGTGGCTATTTCTATGCTTTATTCTGTTCATAGACATTTTACCATGCCTGTATATACATGCAGAAAGCTTGCTCTCTATGACACTTTATAGCTACTTTTTTATTTTAATTAACATTTTGATTGGGACATTACTTTGTCAGAGTCCTGCTTATGTGATGTTTCTGCCACCAAAGTAGACAGCAATTTTTTTAATATTTATTCTCCTAACCTTTATAGAAGCATAAGAAGTTACTACACAGTTTTTGACCTGGGAGGATGGAGATCCTCTGGAAAACATGCATGGTTCTTTTGCATTCATGAAAGTCAGAATGTAGCCAAAAACATAAAAAGAAGAAAAAGCAAAAACTTTTCATTGTAGAAGGATGTTGTGCACATTTATATATTAATTAACACAGCACGATTATGTGTTAAGAGAACAAGGGCTTAAGAGGGTAGAGTATATGTTCCAATTGGAAAACAGTATTAGATTTGTCTCTTGGCTTGCTTAGGCTTGCTCATCATTATTACAGATACTGAAGGAAAAAAAAAAGCCTCTTGCTCTTGTACAGACCAGTTGTCCTCCTTGGTCATGCTGTTATTATTGTAACTTATTTTAGATAGCGTGTCAAAGTGAGATAGGAAAATTCAAATTGTTAAATATGTATAATTGCACTTTTATGCCTGACAATACGTTACAAATACGTTTGGATGTTTGAAAAAACACTTCCATCATGTAATAGTTTTATATCTTGTTGTAAACATTCCAGAGTTATTTGGGCAGGAAGACACATGGCAAACTATTATTGTTGCTTTTGAAATAACCAGAAGGCATATAACGTATATTCATGATAGTAGTCTAAGAGGACTTTGTCACAACATGTCTCCATGTCACTAGTGAAATTATAACTTGCTTGCCAAGCAGCTATTTGCAGTAAACTTAATAGGATTTCTAAGAATGTAGCCCAGGGGCATACTAGGGCAAGCTGAGCAATTGGTAGCTCACTTAGAACTGTGACTCTAATAACTGCCCATAGTTCTACTGTTGAACAGCACAACAGGAATGAGATTCTTGTTTCATTAAGTTTTGTGCATACAACAGTGGAGGCATTTGGGGGAGCTTATTTAGTAAAATGTATGATTGCTGTTGCAGGAAGTACTTTCATGCTGTATTTAACTCTCTCCAGAATGTCACAGGGAGGTTGATGGTTGGCCTCCGATGGTGGAACCAGGTTGATGATGATGGCAAAAGTCACTGGGTGTTTGAAGCCAGGAAGGTAAATATCTCCCTTGTTGCTGAGGGAATGACTGTGAATAGTGTACTCTACAGCTTAGAGCACTTTTAATTCCAGAATTGGATACAAGGTCACTACACACAAATCACAGCACAATTATTGAAGGTAGTATTTGTAATATAACATGCTTTACCCTCTGATTTAGAGGCCAAAAAAGATGCACAGTATATGTTTATTTGCAGTGAGATAAATGATATTTATTTATTTATTTATTTATTTATTTATGAGACTTATATACCGCTTTAAGTGCAAGCACTCTCTAAGCGGTGTACACCAGTAAGCAATGTATATATATATTTACATTGCCCCCAACAATCTGGGTCCTCATTTTACCTACCCCAGAAGGATGGAAGGCTGAGTCAACCTTGAGCCGGTAAGATTTGAACCGCTGACCTGCTGAACACAGTCAGCTAAAGTGGCCTGCAGTACTGCACTCTAACTGCTGCGCCACCTCGGCTCTTTGTTATTAAACAATTAAACCTGTTTTAAAGAATTATGATTGAATGAGCTAATATGAAACTATCAAATCATACAAGCAATGCATTTTAGAGTTCCTATAATTACTTTAAAGAACCAAACACAAGCAACAGTTTTTAGGCACGCTGAAAATCTTTTTTCAACCTTATGTCGTGAAAATATTTAAATACATCAGGCTAATGCAAATGAATTTGAGGGGAGGGTAAGGTAGGGTCTCAGTTTATAAATCTTTCAGGCTTGAACAGGAATATGAAGATAGCCTTGAAGAAGAATACGCAACAGTCATCACAAAAACAACAACAACAACATCTTAGCTAGGAAATACAGATGCGGTGAGGAAGAAACTCAAAATTACTTCACTTTGACTATAAAAGGGACAGAGAAACTCTGTCAGGCTTTCCAGGATTCTATGACAATAAAGATGAGTAACTGTAGTTCTTGTGTTGTCTGTTTCCTGACTAACTAACTACAAGTTTTCAAACATTTGATCCCCTTAGGTCTTCATAACATGAAAACTTGCATAAGCAATATTTACTGTTCTTTACAAATAGTTCTCACTTTACAACCATTCATTTCAGCAACTGAAGTTACAGCGATGCTGAACGAATGGTATTTACACCCAGTTCCTGAAGTTTTGTGGTTACATGATCAGAATTCAGGTACTTGGCAATAGCTGCCTGCATTTATGACAGCAGGGGCACTTCAATTCCCTTTGGCTATCTCCCCGCATCTCTGCCCCTTTGAACGTTCTGCACAACGAAACTTATTGGCAGAAGCAGCACGGCTGGGGTTGAAGTGGTGGCTTGGGGCCTTGGGAAGTGAGAGCCAGCCAGCACCACCAATGGGCCCAATGCCACCTCAAGCAATAAACTGGCCAGACGCTTATGCCACATTCAGCTGACCTTCACCATCTTCCACTGCTGATGAGGCCTGCCCTATGTGAGGCAACTGCTGGTTATATTCTCCAAATCATGAGCAGCCTTGGGAGAAAGGCCTGTTGCAGCCAGCAGCTGCCTCACATAGAGCCAGACCAGGCATGTGGTATGGGCAGTTGGAGTAAGACAGTGAAGGCCAGCTGGGCATGGCAAGGCCAGCAGAGCACAGGGTGACAGGGATAGCTGAGGCTCTATAAAGTGGTGCTGCATTGGTCAGGAAGGGCTCTCTCCCTTGATAGCCCTTTTTGATAAAAGGATACTTCATTCTGTTTCCATTCTGAAATCCAAAGACATAAAGCTTTCTATTGCATGATTTCTTTAAAGAATAATTAGATTCTGCTGTTTCAGAAACTGTATTATCATTACTGAGATTTTTCAGTATTTAACGAAAGTAAACTTTTTATAATGTGGCTTTACGCTTAATTAAAAAAATAAAATACAGTGTAAATAAAATACTACTACCATTCATTTTTAGGCATCTGCTCAAGGGAGGAAAGCTATTTCAGAAGCAGAGTCCAGAATCTTCTGGTTAGGATTAATCACATGTCCTTTACTCTGGGTGATTTTTGCCTTCAGTGCCCTATTTTCTTTCAAAGTTAAGTGGCTGGTGAGTAAAATGTTCATTTGTTCCTGCTAAGCTCATTCTTGGGGGAACAGTGAGGCTTTGGTTCTCTCACATATCTTCCTCTCCTTTTATAGGCAGTGGTAATTATGGGTGTAGTATTGCAAGGAGCTAATCTTTATGGCTATATTCGGTGCAAAGTGGGTAGCAGGAAGAACCTGACTAGCGCAGCAACTTTCTACTTGGGAAGGCAGTTCCTGCGGCAGGTAGGTCAGATTTTATTTTCTGTTCCTCTCCAAGCATTTGCCTTGGTGCTTATCTAATTTTGCATTTCCTGATTTTGCTATTTTTTGTAGGCCTAGAGATTTAAAGAATTCAAGATCCAACACTAGCCTGTTCAGGTTCTGTTATAGCTAGGATGGGTGCTTCTTTCAGTTGTATGTATTACAGCTCTTCCTTGGACTGTTGAGGAAATATGTCACATATGCTTTCAGAGTGCTCTTGCCTGTAATTTGAATACATATGACTGATCTTTGAGAAATTTGACTTTGAGGGTCTGAAGCTTAGACCAGCGGTCTCCGGCCTTTCTGGTTTGGCAGACCGGTGGAGGGTGGAGAGAAGATGGTTCTGCATGAGTGGCAGACAAGCGCGTGCGCAGCTCCATTTGCACAAGTGGCAGGTATGGTTGCTGTGCGTGCATGTGGAGTAGCGCATGCGCTTGCCGCTGCTTCCACGGCCCAGTTCTAAGTGGATTGAAGCCCAATAGTGGGCCGCGGCTTGGGGGTTGGGAACCTCTGGCTTAGAGGATCCTCATGACTTTAATAATCTTATTTGCTCCATTTAACTATCTTCAGAGACGCTGTTTAGGCAGTATTGTTTCCTTGAAAAAACTCTACAGGTGGTTTGATAACAGCCTTTTCTAGGCAAAGGTCCAGTGATTGTATCTGCCCACATAAAGTGGTACAGAGAATATTTTTTCCAGAATCAGGGCAAGTGCACCCTACAAGATGATTTTTCAAAGAGTTTAACTATAGTCATTATAGTCCTGATCTAATGCTATTTATCTTTCTTTTACAGACCACGCCCAAGGAGGACCAAGCAGTATCTTGAGGTTCATGAAGAAACACTACCTACCATTTTCAGTCCTTATGGAGAATGGGGGGGGGGAAACCCTATTTCTTGGCCTCTGTACAGGAAATTTATAATCTGTGTATGGATTTTTGTAATTAAATATGTCTCAAAGAAGTGTTAATTGTTACCATTTCTTACAACTTAGATTTTACAAAGCTCTTCTTGACTCAACTGACTGCTAGACTCTTTAATTAATTAAATGATTAATTCTCCACTTTGAATTAGGTTTTAAAAAATAGTGATGATATCTGTGACTATAACATTGCATTCCTGAAATAGCCGGATCTGTCCTCAAGAACTTTGCAATCAAATATTGTGCTGTTTCAAAACCAGCTTGTTCAAGAAGTCTGATGATAAGGGCTTGAGCAATCTTTCCTCATGGGAGAACTGTGGAATGTAACCTTTAACGCATGACTTAATGTCTACATTAATGTGAGATCAGGTATTTTTAAGCAGGTTTTTAGATCTTAATGAGGAAAATAGAAAATAACAACAACAATTGGATAATTTCAGCTAAAGGTCAGGAGGAAGAGCTAAGAGTTCCAGTTTCACAATCAGAATAGAAAAACACTGATGCCTGTTGACTGGCAAAAATTAACTTTCCTGTTTTGTTTGGTTTTGATCTGAGCCTTCTTGAATATTTAGATTTCCTGAGGAACAAGGGCAAGTTCCCTTCAGCTTACTATCTGAGTAAAAGTGAATTCTCAGGCTACAACTATGGTAGCCTACAAGGATGTAGATCTCAATTCACAGCATTCTATAGAGAGAGGAGGGATTTGAGTGTGCCCCTTTGTGCCACTTACAGATTATTGATATTATAGAAAGACTATTCTGAAATTGCTAGAGCCATGAACTCATAATAAACCCAAACAAGCAACTTTAGAATGGTTGAAATAAGAGATTGAGCTAATTTAAACTAGGCGGCTCATGTAAAATTAGCCCAAGTAATCCACTGGATTAATATAGCCCAGGAGTCCCCAACTCCTGGGCAGCAGCTCACTACTGGGCCATGGCCTATTTGCAGCTTGAGTTGTGCAAGCGGCAGGCCAGCAGGCATGCGCAAATGCATGCAGCTCAACTTGCACAAGTCCCCTCCCCAGCTGGACCGCCAAGCCACAAAGGCTGGGGACCACTGATTTAGCTCATCTGCAAATATTTATTTGCAAATGTAAGCAATGCTTCAGTGAATTTAGGCTCTACTAAGAATGTAGATTTCTGCAAACTTTCTTGCTTTGAGTAGAGTGAGTTCTATGTACAGGGCCTACCTTGTCACGATGTGCTACTGGTAATTGGGCTGTTTTTCAAAATCAGAATTAAAATTTATTCAGTTATTGCTGATTACTGTATGGACATCCAATTCTTCACTTCAAACATGATCAATTTGTATATTTCTCAAGATGCTTAAACAGGAGTTAAAGCTATGTTACTGTTCAGATAGTTTATAAGATAAACTTAGGAAAGAAATATTGATTATAAAAAACTTTAATATAAGCCTAATGGTGATTTATTGTTCATTTTAAAAGGAAAAGTGGTTGGCAAGTTTCTACATGAATGCTGATTGTTAATGTTCATATTTGGATATAAAAAGTAAAGGTTCTTGGAATACAGAAACAGTGTATTTAAAATCTCTGTTTTGCATTGTGCATGTTTGTGGACCTTTCGAATTAACCTGTTTTACAAAGAAATATATTTTTTTAAAGCTGTGAAATTCTGAATGGGTTTGATTTAGTGTGCCAATATCATGTGTCTCAGGTGATACACTATATTGCAGTCGTGGCGAACCTATGGCACAGGTGCCAGAGGCGGCACTGAGAGCCCTCTCTGCGGGCATGCGCGCCATCGCCCCAGTCCTAGGCCTTCAGCTGGGTTTTATAAAACCTTTTCGCCTTAGGCCTCCACCGCCATGTAAAAAAAAAAAAAGGTTCAGTCAATCAGTAAATTTCAACTTCTCACGGGAAAAAAAAAGATCTTGCAAAGTTGGAATTGATTGATTGAACTTTTTAGTCCCACCCAGTCTGCTGGTACCACTACAGCCATGCCCAGCCAATGGGCCACACCCACCCAGCACCCGATGATGCATAAGTGGGTTTTGGGTTGCATTTTAGGCACTCGGTCTCTAAAAGTTCGCCATCACTGCTATAGTGAGTTTCATGTCGATTAACAAGCTTATATCTTGAATCTAGTTTTGAGCTTTGTCAGTTTCCATTTTTTCACAACTGTATTATGTGGGAAGCGGCTGCATTCCCTTCAGAGATGCTCATCAAGTGCATTATTAATAGTCTTACTAATCAACTTGATCTTTATCTTTTTAGCTGGACAGTGCAGTCATCCAATTGAGCACTTTCTTGTTGGTTGCTGGCATTCCTTAGTGATATATTAAAAAGCCTTGGTTATCTAAACAGTGGACACTGGCATAAATGACTTAAGATTGCATATTCATTTTTCCTTAACTGTTTTCTAATAATTTTATTATTATCTGAAATGAGTCGCAAAAGATTGAATATCATAAAAACATTCATACCACTGCAAAGCTAATGATATTTTCTAGGAAATCTTTTCACCCATTTAACTGAGAGAGAGTAAGATACTGTTGTGCCTACATGGGTGAATCACATCACCTTTGAGATGTTTTGTTTCTGCTTATACTGTATCAACAGTATTCAAGCTTTAAAATAAAAATATATACAAGCTGGTATTCTTGAGAATCTCCCAATTTTGCAGGTTTTTTTGCTGTTCATATTTCCTTTCTTCTCACTCATCAATTTTTCTGGTCTTTGCATTTCTAAAGTTCAGTATAATTTCTTTTTAAAACTCTTATTCTATACAGTATCATCTAATAAAATCAAGGAACTTTTCATTGCTGGACCTTCCCCAGCAATAATTTTTACATAGCACATTGAATTACTGGCAATTTCCCCAATGGTTGTAAGAAGTGAAGGACCATGCTGAACTAGAAAGATGGGTGGTAGTTAAATTTAATAAATAAACCATCATTCTATGTTCCAAATTTGCCCATCAGATGCCAAGCAAATGTCCATCAAATGCTGATCAGATTTCAAGCAAACCTGGGTTTAGAGAGGAGACTACCTCTTTGACATAATGAAGGCGTATCTATCAGCCACTGATAACCTTATTCTGTATAAATCTATCCAGTTGCTTTTTAAAGTTAATTAACCTTCCAGCTGTATTGTATGCTAGTATATTGCCTAGTATATTGTGGAATGGTTTTTTCTGTCATGATTCTTCCACAATTTAGATTTATGGAATGAATAAATTTTTATATTAAAGGGAGAAAAACCTGAAGGTCTGCATGTCTAAATTTACACTGTTATTATGACTTCCTCACAGCTAACCTGGTTGATCTCCAAAATCTAAGCTGAATGAGATCTGATTTTTACTTGCAAGAGAGAACCCCCCCTCCCCCAGGAAATAATAGAGATGTGAGCTACATTGGGATGTCAACAATAACAACAAACAATATTTTGAATTTCTGCTTCCATTTGTTGCTAGCACATCTGTTTGGACATACTGTATCCATGAAGTAACTGAGTCAAGTTTGAGTTGAATTAGTACCTCCTGCTTTACCTTTTTTTTCTACGTAAAAAGCCTTGAACATTGTCACCTTCCTTTCCTCTTAAGTAAACTGTTCCAGCTCCACAATCATTTTCTGCACCTTCACCATTTCTGCAACAATCCTTTTATCAGAGAGAGTCTGGGGTTTTGCACACAATATTCCAAAGATAATTGCACCTGGAAAGTATATAAAGGCATTGCAAAATGAGCAGTTTCATTTAAAGTGCCTTTCTTGCTTGTAAATTAAAAGGCAAAGCTGTCCTTCTTTTCAGCTGTAATTGTTGCCTTGCTATAATTCTTACTTCTGGAAATTTTTCAAGATTAGTATGCATTTGTGTTTCCTGTACATAGACTATTGCCTTCCCTGGTGGTTTACTGCACTTTCTACTAATTATGAGTATCATTTTTCATTCTGGCTGTTTCTTGATGGGCATCTTAATGTACAATGTATACTTCCCTTGTGCAGTTATTTGATAAGCATCCAGACAGCCTTATTCTTCTGTCAACATCCCCAAATGCCCTCTTCTTTCTGTTCTGGGATAATCTTTTCAGATGGAAAGCCCTGAAAAAGAAGCATGTATGTCCAAAATGATAGTTGTGCCATTAATCTCTTTTTATAAGATACTGGGTGGGGTTAGGAAATTAATGTCAGCAGTGCTACTGTGATTGTTTGCCCTATCTCCTCTCTTAGAATTCAGGTTCTTTTCAATATGTGTGCAAACATTTCAAATTTTAAATAATTTAGGAAATAAGGTTTGTAGTGTTTTGTTCACTTTCAGAAACATTTCATTTGTATGCGTAAAGGTGAGATAGCTGTCTAGAAATGAGCATTTAAAAATGCTTTATATATGTCTGTACAACTGCAGTTTCTGAACTAGATGTGTGAAAACCTCCACCTTATTTTTCGCTAACATAAAGGAATTTTCCCTAATCAATCCCAGCCACTATGGCAAATGACAAGCTATTATAGAAGCTGTAGTTCAAAGTTTCTAGAGGTCATCAGTTTGCCAGAGTATTCCTATTATAGTCTGTTCTCAGAATATATCTATATGTTGGATTTACAATGGTCAAATTTGTCCATTGATTGGTCTGTTCCCTAATTTTTCTTAAGAAATGCAGTTTAGTAGGTATAGTTTTCTGGAAAGGCCAGTTCTTCAGTTTGTGATATTCTATCTAGTAAAGGTGAAGGTTTCCCCTGTTCAGATGTGTCCAACTCTAGCGGATGGTGCTCATCTCTGTTTCTTAACTGAGGGAGCCAGTGTTGTCTGAAGATACTTCTATGGTCATGTGGTCAGCATGACTATACATTGAGGCGCACAGAATGTGGTTACCTTATCACCAAAGTGTTACCTCTTTTGGTACCTATTTATCTACTCACACTTTCATGCTTTCAAACTGCTAGTGGGCAGGAGCTGAGTGTAAGAACGTCCTGCTGGTGCGTGAATCAAACAAGCCACCAGGAACGTTGCAGTAGTCAACAAGGGTTTATTGCTCTATGTTGAAAACAAAGTCAGCTCTGGGAAACTCCCCGTCTCAGTGTCCTAAATACAACCCGTCACCACACCCACCGCGCACGCCCCAATTATCCCAATTACCCCCATAAATTACAACCCCACCTACACCACACCCTGTCTCCCCCATGTGTCGTCCATCGGTTCCATAGCATAGCGGGACACCCGCGTCTCCGCCCCGCCCCCTCTTCTCAGCGACCACGTCTTGTCAGACCCAGCGTTATAGTTCATCCCCCAGGTCAGCGTTTCCGTCCCGTATAGTCCCGGTGTATCCTGTTCTCCCGTTTCCATACTAATTGGTCACGTGGTCCGCTCGTCACTGTGGAAGCGCCGGTAGCATTCCGGTAACGGCGCCGTTGATGCAGCTCACACGGGAATGCTTGGAGAAGCAGGTACCGTCTGTAAGAAGACCGGACTCTGGACCACACATAGGTAGGACTCACGCTGGGTCTGACATTCGGCTCCCCCTCACCACAGGGCCCTCTGAAACGGAATATAAGAAGTTACGTATATCATCTAACCTATCCAGGAAGTGTTATCTATCCCCCCTTTTCCTCGGCCTGTGCGGCCACGTCTTGTGATACCGACGGGTGAGGGCAGGGGCAAAGACATCCTCCCCCCGCACCCAGGAAGCATCGGATAGGGGGTACCCCTTCCATAATACCAGATAATACATGTTGCCCTTCCGCCACCGTGAGTCTAGTATGTCTTGTATTTCATACCGCCCCGGAGTGATGGGTCCTGGAGGGTCTTTGTGGGTGTCCCCCTTTACAGGCTTCAACAAACTCACATGGAAGACCGGGTGTATCTTACCAAGCATTTCCGGCAATTGAAGTTGCACCGTAACAGGATTGATGATACGTACTATACGGAAGGGCCCAATGTATTTTGGCGCTAGCTTCTTGCATGGTACCTGTAACTTAATATACTTGGTTGATAAGTATACCTGGTCACCCACTTGTAACTGAATTGGCATTCTACGACCCTTGTCAGCCTGATCTTTTGCGGCCTTTTCTGCTTGCTGCAATGCATGTTTTACTGTACCCCATACTTGACCTGCCCGAGACAACCAGTCTCCAGGTTGTTGGTCCAGGGCTTCCTGCGACTCGCCCCTGGGCAATGGAACTGGGTCGTACCCGTAAATTACTTGAAAGGGGGTTAATCCGGTGCTTTTATGCACTGCGTTGTTATACGCTAACTCTGCGAAAGGTACGAAATCTATCCAATCCGACTGCTGGTAAGATACATAAGATCGTAGATATCGGGCAATTGCTGCATTGGCCCGTTCCGCCGCCCCGTTGGTACAAGGATGGTATGCAGAGCTCAGTCCCTGTGTGGTTCCGATGCTTGCAAGGAATCGACGCCAGAATTGGGCCGTGAATTGAACGCCTCGGTCTGAAATAATTCGACGGGGCGCTCCATGTAGTCGATAAATGTGTTGCACAAACAATTTTGCTAACCTTCTTGCGGACGGCAGTCCCTTGCAGGGGATAAAGTGCGCCTGCTTCGAGAATAGGTCAACTACCGTCCATATGACCATGTAACCCCTGACATTCGGTAACTCAATGAGGAAATCCATCCCAATGTCCTGCCAGGGCCGAACTGGGTTAGATACCGATTGTAG